CTCTTCGCGGAATGATGGTGGCCTTGCGTTTCCGAATTTAAGATACTACCATGCTACTCAATTGTGTGCTGTGGCCTCATGGTCTACCCTACACACTTATAATCACGGACGGAAATTTAAAAAACTTTGGCTAGCATCTATACATCCCAATAATCTTCTCTGGAATGCGAATGCAGAGGTAGACTTCTCTAAACTCTCTCATATGATGTCACTCCTTCGTAACCTGGGGAAGACAATGAAATGAAAACACAATCTTATGTCTCCCACAGCATCTTTAATTACTGATTTTCTCTTTAATCCCTGAGTGCCAGATAGTCTAACCTTTCAGATGTCTTCTCCCTGGATGAGCAGGAAACTTTTTTTCATTAAGGCTCCCTGGTTGATCCCAGGACTCACAAACTTTTACCTTGTGAATTGCTAAAAGACCGATTTAATCTACCAAACCTGGTATTTTAGAGGTACTTGCAGATCCACCACTATGCTCAAACCATTGCCCCTTCCCTACAATTTTCCAAACTGACTTCTTTTGAGTGAGTAATTCTTGCAGGTCCTTCCCAGAAAGTGCTTATTTCAAATATTTATACAATTTTGAGTGCTTTCCTATATAGACCAATGGGAAGCATTCGTATATGCTTAAGTGGGAAAGGATCCTGGGTGAGGAACTATCCCCAGAAGCATGGCAGGTTGTCTGGTCTCAGGCATCCAAGAGCTCCATTTGTACTCTTTTTATAAAGAAACTCCTATAAAATACTTTGCTTTTGGTATATGACTCCTGACCTCCTCCATGCTATCTTTCCCACTAGCAGTGATCACTGTTGGAGATGCCAAAGGGACCAAGGTTCTCTTTTTCCATATCTCGTGGTAATACTCTCATGTGGAAACCATTTTGGAAATCAGTACATCAACTATTACAGCACTTATTGTTCCTTTTGGGGTTGAACTCATCGACTCCAAGTCCAATAAAAAATTGATGCGAGGTGACTCATCACAGTCTATGGGAAAAAAAAAGAGAACCCCCATCATATACTGCTTTATACAGTGGAATCAAAGATGCAGAACGTATGGAAGAGCTCACTGCTAGATTATGTGATACTCTAGAGATTCAAGATAAAATATGGGAATTATGGCATTTCAAGGAGGATCAGGCATGACCACGCCTTTTTTTTTTTTTTTTTTTTTTTTTTTTTACTTTTGGTTAATCTGGCTTCTGATACGTAGATTGGTGATGAAGGTGATGCAAAAGGGGGCGCGCTGCCCCCCCCCTTTTTTATTTTGTCTATCAGTCACCTGCTCTCCAATCTGCCCCTCCAGTACTCACTGGAGTGCTGGGCTGGAGAGGGGGTGTTAAAAGGCAGAGCCAGCTGTCAATCAGGCAGCGGGGTTGGATCCCAACAATATGGTCGGGATCCATCCAGAACCTGAAGTGGCTCTGTGACGCCAGTTGACAATGGGCTTTATTCTGATTCTGGGTCACAGAAAAGCAAAAGTAAGTGCACTCTTGTGACCCACAAAAGAAGTCTGACTAAAAAAAACTTTGTCCATAGTTTAGTTCATAGCCAAGGCACGTGCACTTTAGGTATCTTTTTTTCTTTTTCTTGTTCCTTTACAGAAGAGTATTGAAAAAGAGGGCCCTTCTATGCCCAGACCACAGGCATCCCCTTTTATTAAGCTGATGTACTTTTTTGTTTTTTTTTAAATAACAATTTTGTAAATTTATACATTTATGCCTGTGTGTGTGCAGCTGCATGAGCAGTAGGTCTTCTGTTGGGCTTAGTGCACAATTCCTCCTCTACCATGTGTCTTCTCAGACACACTCAGTAAGATTTCATTACTATTGCATGTATTAAAATATACAGTGGGGATCGAAAGTTTGGGCACCCCAGCTAAAAATTTGTATTATTGTGCATAAAGAAGCCAAGGAAAGATGGAAAAATCTCCAAAAGGCATTTAAATTACAGATTAGACATTCTTATAATATGTCAACAAAAGTTAGATTTTATTTCCATCATTTACACTTTCAAAATAACAGAAAACAAAAAAATGGCGTCTGCAAAAGTTTGGGCACCCTGCAGAGTTAATATCTTGTACTGCCCCCTTTTGGCAAGTATCACAGCTTGTAAACACTTTTTGTAGCCAGCCAAGAGCCTTTCAATTCTTGTTTGAGGTATCTTTGCCCATTCTTCCTTACAAAAGTCTTCCAGTTCTTTGAGATTTCTGGGCTGTCTGTCACGCACTGCTCTTTTAAGGTCTATCCATAGATTTTCAATTATGTTGAGGTCAGGAGATTGTGAAGGCCATGGCAAAACCTTCAGTTTACGCCTCTTTATGTAATCCCCCGTGGATTTCGAGGTGTGTTTAGGATCATTATCCATTTGTAGAAGCCAGCCTCTCTTTAACTTCAGCTTTTTCACAGATGGCATCAAGTTACCATCCAAAATTTGCTGAAAATTTTATTGAATCCATTTTTCCTTCTACTCGTGAGATGTTCCCTGTGCCACTGGCTGCAACACAACCCCAAAGCATGATTGATCCAACCCCATGCTTAACAGTTGGATAGAGGTTCTTTTCATTGAATTCTGTGCCCCTTCTTCTCCAAACGTACCTTTGCTCATTCCGGACAAAAAGTTCAATTTTAACCTCATCGGTCCACAGAACTTGTTTCCAAAATGCATCAGGCTTGTCTATATGTTCATTTGCAAAGTTCAAACGATGATTTTTGTGGTGAGGACGTAGAAGAGGTTTTCTTCTGATGACTCTTCATGAAGACCATATTTGTACAAGTATCTCTTTATAGTGGAATAGTGGACCACAACTCTAGTGTCTGCCAGATCTTTCTGGAGGGATCGTGCAGTCAAACGTGGGTTTTGAATTGTTTTTCTCACAATCCTGCGAGCTGTTCTGTCTGATATTTTTCTTGGTCTTCCAGATCTTGCTTTAACTTCCACTGTTCCTGATGACTGCCATTTCTTAATTACATTCCGAAGAGAGGATATTGACATCTGAAAACGCTTTGCTATCTTCTTATAGCCTTCTCCAGCTTTGTGAGCGTCAACTATTTTCAGTTTCAGTTTTCTAGACAACTGCTTAGAAGAACCCATGGTGCTGATTGTTGGGGCAAGGTCAGATGAGTCTGGGCATTTAAAACCTTTGAGATTGACATCACCTGGTCTTCCCAGACGATGATTGAGAACAATCCATGACACTGGCAGGTCTCAGCTTGGCAAAGGGGGCAGTGCATGCTATAAATTCTGCAGGGTGCCCAAACTTTTGCAGACGCCATTTTTTTGTTTTCTGTTATTTTGAAAGTGTAAATGATGGAAATAAAATCTAACTTTTGTTGACATATTATAAGAATGTCTAATCTGTAATTTGATGCCTTTTGGAGATTTTTCCATCTTTCCTTGGCTTCTTTATGCACATTAATACAAATTTTTAGCTGGGGTGCCCAAACTTTCGATCCCCACTGTAAGTTCACCTTTCATAACGTGTGTCATGTTACACCCATATTCAGGGTGTAAGATGTTATGAATGCATGGCTTTGACAGCTAATGGGATCTTTTCTCCCTCTGCTAGCTGTCAAATTAAAAAAAAACAGCCATGCAGGGCTCCTCCCGCCCAGCTTCATTACTCATTCACAGTCCTCTGTGAATGAGAAACTACAATTCCTTGCAGCCTTAGTGGCTGTCAGCTTGTAGTTCTCAATGAACTAACACTGCACTATGAAGCGCCGTGGTAGTGCATTGATTTTCCTGTCAGTATATCTGCTTGCTCATACATCCCATGCAGGCAGAAATATATACTGACAAATCTGCAGGAGACCTGCATGGCATCGCTGGTGCCATGGCCTGCAACCAAAAATAACATATGCACTTTTTTTTACCTGCAAAGAAATTGGCATTTTTACTATTTTTGGTAAAAAGGTGAACTTTACCTTTAAACCCTCTAACTACTTATCAACAATCTGTACCTTCTTGAGGTATGTCTCAGTGCCTACTTTTCCTTTTGTTTTCTAAAAGTTGAAAACTTTGCAGAATTTTTTTTTCCTAAAAATACACTCTCATGCCTGTTTGTCAAAATGTTTAAATGTGTCCCTGACAGCTTAAAATGATTCTTAAGTCAAACGTTTTTTTTACCTTAATGCGTTCTGTGCATTAAATTGGTTGTAAACCCTTACATATACTCAGTGAAGTGACTGGCTCCAGGTGATATGCAGCGATGAAACAAATCATCCTGAATAAGTTGTACCTATTTATCTACGGCCATCTTTCCCCTACATCCATTCAAAGTGCAGAATTGCCACAGCATCTGTCAGCTCTGAAAAGCAGGGGGCGGAGAGCTGCAGTTAACATCAGTGAGGAGAGCTGGTTGAAAGGAAGGGACACACCCAGGGGCGGCACTGCCAGAGGACCCAGGGTCAGTAGGGGGCCCCATGAGATGCCCTAGTACCTTTTTATAGGCTATTTTGGGTGTGGTTTGAGTGTGGGTGAGGATACAGGGGCCCCATGATCCCCATGAGTTGTCAGTCTGCCTCTGGACACACCCCCTCCACACAGCACACAGGAACAGAGGTGGGGCTGTCAATTACAGGCTGTGCCCTCTCCTGTCACCATTTTTCTCTTGGTGTCAGGAAAGCACATCAGAAGTGAATAATACTGATAGCAGAGGAATGAGGCAGCGAACTGTCAATCAAATCCTATGCGGTGGGTGTGGCCAAGCTGTGCTGTGTGTGTTTTTGGACCCACAGTTGGCTCAGGAGCACGCCCGCACAGGTGCCTCCATAGCACACAGCTTGGTGAGAGGGTACCCGCAGGAGAGGAAAAGCAGAGAACACCGGTGAGGAACTCCAGAAGAATGAGGTAAAGGGCCACTTTGTGTAATGCCATTGCACAGAGCAGGTAAGTATAGCATATTTTCTATTTGAATTAAATGCCTTTGCATGCACTTTGTTGTACACTTGTATTAAAGATACTAATACAATGTCTTTTCTTTCCCACTTTCAGGGACATTCCAGTTATATTACACACCTTGACTGGTCCCCAGACAACAAATACATAATGTCAAACTCAGGAGACTATGAAATATTATACTGTAAGTACCAAAATAAAGAACTTTTACTTTACTAAAAAAAGATCAATTTATGTTCAAGTACTTTTTTGTTTTTTTTTTATAAGTGATGTTCTTGTGTCGCTGTTAGTTTAGTCTGCTGTAGTTTAAAATATTTACATGGAAGAACCCAACCATTATTATTATTATTAGCATGTAGAATTTCCTAAACTGGCCATAGATGAGGTTTTTGCTTCCCTAATAAATACATTTTTATATATGTGTATATGTATGTGTATATATATATATATATATTATATATATATATATAATATATATATATATATATATATATAAGTCCATGGTTGCAGCACTCAAAATGTGTTTCGTATAGATACATGCTTTTGGGCTTTTCCTCAGGGCTGGTTTACACCGGGATTGCACAGGAACATGTGGGTTTGAACCCGCAAATCTCTTGCGGTGCATTGTGACAAAAAACACAGTGGACCGCACAAAAAGTAGTGCTTGCACTACTTTTAAAAATGCACTGCACCAAACCATAGTACTGCAGTAGCATGTGATTTGTTGACCGCAAACTCACTGCATTTAAGATCTGTATTTGGAGAGCTGATAACAATACACTGGTACCTTAATCCAGATTGCAAGGCCAGTGTGTTCAAACGCAGTGCGGGAAGTGTACAGAACGTGCCTATCCTGCACCGCCTTCTGGTGTGAACCGACTCTCAGGTAGGAAACGTAGAAACTTGATATCAGTAATTACATAGTTATACAAAAGACATGAATCTTAGGAAACTTTGTCAGGATAGCTTAACCCAATGGAGAAAAATGTATACTTTCTCGAAACCTATAATTTTGCACAGCCAAATACAAGTTATCCCAAAAAAAACCTAAAAAGTATAATTAAATAAAAAAGGAGTATATTTAAACCAAATGATATCAATAAAGCATCCCTCATATATCCTATTTAGAGAACCAAGTGGTAACTTAAAATCAGAATTTAAACCACAAGGTTGTAAAGTGTTCAGATGCTCAATCCAAAAAAAAAAATCTTTTTTTTTTTCTTTAGGGCTAGTTCACAATAGATGCAGTCTAGTGTGCTTTTTTCTGCATCAAAAATACATGCACAGTGTTTTCCATGTATTCCCATGGCCCCAGTTCACACTAGTCCAGTCAGTTCCGGTGCAGAAAAAAAGTAGAACATGCTGCATTTTTTTTCTGCATAGAACTGTTCTGGAACATAACAAACTACACCGGAATGGAGTGTGGTGGGAACTGTAAGAAAAAATGTATCCGGAATGCATCTGGAGTGTGTTTTTTGTGGTGTGAACTGGCCCTTAGTGTCCGTTCTCTGTTTCCCCCTCATATTTTTTAGATACATCCATCTTCAATTACTGTAACTTTTAATTGCTCAGGCGAATGTGCATGTTCCAGAAAATGATGGGCAATAGGTAATTGCACAAGCTTATCCCTAATAGACTGTTTCTATCTAGCAAAGCGATCTTTTACTTTCTCTAGTCTCCCCAACATAATCACATCCACACAGGCATTTAAGCAAGTATATTGCAATATTGGTCTGACAGAGATTACAGTATAACAACATTTAATCTTTATTTTCTAATCCTGATTGGGGCAGCTAAAATAAATTCCAATTAAGGCACAGAAAAGAAACTCATGTTTCAGGATCCAAAATATGTATCCTTGCTTTTGACCCATATAGGTTATTTATTCCTGACTATAGTAAATAAAGCAAATACATACAAAACAATATCCCTTTAAAGAAAAAAGTTAGTAGTTGAGGCATTCCTTGGCAGGCCTGTGATGTAACATATTTCTCAGGATGTTATTTTTTTCTTTTTGGAAAAGCTCATTGCAGACATTTTATCGGTGAGGATATATTATCTGTCCTCATAGGCCCAATTTTCCGCCCCCCTCCCACTATTAATCATCAGGTGTAGCCTCTCCGAACCCCAGCCACTCAGCTGTTCCTACTTCCAGCTCCTTGACTTTCTTGGGGTGCTTTCTAAAACGCATCACATTTTACTACAAGGGTAGGGTAACAAACACAAATTGGAAATCATTGGGTTTCTGTAAGAGGACCTTGCTGTGTGAAAAAAGCCAGGCATCAACACTGAATCCTGCTAGCTTGGAGTTGGGTGGAATAACAAGGACAGCATTCTCCAGTGTTCTTTCTTTGCATCTTTGTAACTGTACTTTTTCCCGTGTGTTAACTGTGTGTTTTGTTGTGGCCAGGGGACATTCCAAGTGGTTGTAAATTAATTCGGAATCGTTCAGACTGCAAAGACATTGACTGGGCAACATACACTTGTGTGCTAGGATTTCAGGTCTTTGGTTAGTATGAATTATTTTCATGTTCCTTTTTATCCCTGTGATCTATTGTGCAATTGCTGAAGGTTGGCTGATGATCCAGAATACCTTAGGGTTCACTATAGAAAGTGTCTGTGGGACCCAGAGCAAATAGTAATTTTCTGACCTGCAGAAAATGTTATTACATTTCAAATTGGATCAAGAAATCAGCTGTATTTCATACAGACATATTGATTAGACAAAAACCACAGGAGTCTAGTAATCTGAAAAGAAATACACACATTTTTGTGGTGTTACTGATATTTAACCGTATCAGGAACAGCAGCAATTAGCAATTTAGGGGTTGAGATAAATTAATTTTAATTTGTTTTCTTTAAATATTGGAATAATTATGTCATAAGAAGTGTCCTTGATGAGGACCTAAACTGCACAAGCTGCACCAAATAAATAAAATGCAAGCAGAGGACAAAGGGCCAACTATGGTCTCCCCTACAGCTGCTCTTTCCCCATTACTGACTTACCAAACCTTCTTCTGCACTGTGTCCCTATGTGGAGGTGGCCATCATGATAGAAGCAGGGCTGTGTTTCCTTATGTCAGAGATGTCCTTCTGATGAGGAATAATAAAGCGGCAGCAGAAGAGTGTAGAAAAAGCAGATGAATAAAACAGAAGCAGGGAGATCCCGGCACTGCAGGTCCTCAGGTGCAGCTTCATCTCCAACAAAGAGAACAGTAAGGCTGGGTACACACTAGAGCTTTATTTTATTTTTGTGTGTGTTCAACCCAGCGGGTTGATTGGAAAAAAAAAAGAGAGATTGCCATACTAACACAAGTGAATTTAGAGTACAATAGCACAGTGAGGGAGATTGTCACACTGACAGGGGGACAGCCCCCCCCCCCCCCACCAGAACACATTGATCAGTTCTGGCAGCCAATGGCTGTCTGCGCTGATTAGATGTGGGTCGAGTGCTGGTTTTCCAGGAAATATAACAGGATATGAGCCGCATAACAAGTGTGGAAAGCAGTGTTCTAAAACACACTGATGTGAATCTCTGGCTTTAAAAAAATTATGTCGGTAGAGAAACTTAGGTGCTGCCATTTCTCACTTCTCCCCTGGATATGCCAGGTGCATGGCAGTCATGCTGACCCTTTAACTTGCATACATTGACTTACCAACCTTGGGCATGTATACAGATAAGGACCTCCTTTTTTTATAACTTTCTTAATACTTGTTCTGGGTTAGCGACTTTGGAAGTATTGGATCCAGAAAAGTTAGTATAACCAACATTTTTCTTAGACGGTCAGCAGTTGTAGCCTCATATTTCTTGCAAGACAGGTTTACTTTAATGTAACCCATAATTTGCTTTGACTTTGCAAGCCTTTGTGATTGATACAAGTTAAAACTCCTCTTCTCACCTTCCAGGAGTGTGGCCAGAAGGATCAGATGGAACAGATATCAATGCATTAGTGCGATCTCACAACCGAAAGGTTATTGCCTTGGCCGATGACTTTTGTAAGGTCCATCTGTTTCAGTATCCATGCTCTAAACCAAAGGTAAGGACATCACAGTGCTAGCCATTTTCATAATTCATTACTTTTACTTTATAATAATGATTACTACAAGATGGAATTATATTTTTAATTTTAGCAACAGCTGTGTATGATTGAATAGATTGATAGTTAGACCCTCAAACTACACATTTTGTTTTTAAATCTAAAGGAGATTTTACCATTGGTTTAATGTGTTTGGCCAGCCCAGAGCTGTGTTGTAGTGAGCTGTGATAACATGCAGACATACTGTATTTTATTGCAGCGTACAGGACAGGGTCGCATGTCACTGTATAGCAGCATAGTGCACAACGCTGCTGTACAGTGACATGAATAAAGTGTCACTTTGTACACTTCATATAAAGTTGAGTGACAAAAATGGAATTGTGTGATGTGCTAGAACAAGTATCGTACTACCCCCTACTGCTGGCTCACTGCAGCCAGAATGGACAGCTGCAGCATATTAAACGCTGTGGTTTAGTGTGCAGTACCTTCAGGGAAGTGTGAACGGGCCGTAAAGCACATGAGCTTTAGACATTCCTGTTATCACTTGTAAAGGTACTGCAAAATTTCACCTCCAGATGAATCGTTTAATATTCTTACATATTGACACATGCACATGTCACAGGAAAGGAAATCACTTGACTTCCTCATCAACACAGTCAGCATTGTTGGGGGAATCCCTCCTGCAGAGCTATTGTGATCTCACAGCGGGGGAGGGGGTGGGAGGGAGTTGTCCTGGCCGAGAGAACACAGTGGTAATTGCTAGCGGCTATAGCCACTGGCAATAATTGCATGCAAAATCCGACAGGCTGGTTGTACCCAAGTTGATTGATCGATCAACTTTGGTACAATCAGTCTTGCCCATACATGGTTCGAATTTCAGCCAGTCCCTGCTGAACCTGCCGAGATTCAAGCTGTCTATGGCCGGCTTACTTGGCTGCCATGCTGTCCCTTTGACACGACAATATTTTAAAGCAACCTGTGCTTTGCCCGTGAGCCACTTGTTTGCTTCAATGGCAGCCCCAGCTGCAGCACAAGCTTACCTGGCAGCAGATGGCAAGTCATTATTGTGCAGATTTTTTACCAAATACATCTAAAACAATTATGGCATTCAATGGTGCATTCTAAACTGTACAGCTTTTCCGATCTTTTAATTCAGTTACTATTCCGTTTACTGTTTTCCAGGCTCCCAGTCACAAGTACAGTGCCCACAGCAGCCATGTAACTAATGTCAGCTTTACACACAACGATGGCCACCTAATCTCAACCGGAGGGAAGGACATGAGCATCATGCAGTGGAGACTGATAGAAAAAGTGTCACTCTCTCAAAATGACAATATAGTGGAAATAAGTTCTGCCAGTGTGCCAGCTGTAAGTGAAAAAGTAGTTCAAGAAAGCTCCCCCACCTCTGAGACACCTCCAGCAAATGAGGACAGCACTCCTGTGGAGTCTCCAGCAACTCCGGCAGAAGATGCCGTGGAAGCAGAAGTTGTACCAGATGGCACCGAGGAACAAAACGAGGTGCAAAGTGAAGGAAGCAGCCAAGAACCTTTGGAGACAAATGGCCAAGAGCCTTCTAGTGAAACAAATGAGGAGACAGCGGAGTCTCCTACCATAACAGAATCCCAGGGTGAAGATTCACCAGTGTCTTAACACCTAATTCTATAGGTTCTTTTTTTCATTTCTATACCTGGTGTGTGAGCTTTCATCATGGGAAGAGGGTTTAAATAGCAGGAGAGTATATTTGGATGGATGTTCATAGCACACATGTGCGATTTAGGTTGGTTTCGTCCAAGAAGTCTTCGTCACGGGCTACAGAAAAAAAAAAAAAAGCCAAAGCTGGAAGTTGGACAAAACATAAAAAAAACAAAAAAAAGTGTAGATGGTAGATTTCAGGAAATGATGTCACTAAGTGGTGTGTTGTATATATTTTGTAGGGTCAAACTGGGTCAATATAAGATTTAAAGAAGTGAAGAATAATAGAAAAAAAAAAAAAATTGTTCTGCAAAGGTATTTCCTAGGTGCATATGGTAGAGGCCAAATCCATCACCGGTGATTGTTTTCGGATCTTGCAAACTGTGCTCAGTCACGCTGGTCAATGCCTATGCAATTTTCTTACAAAAACTCTAAAGACCGTTTGCCATAAGAAGTCTGTCCTAGGTGCTGCTACCTGTCTTAAGGACTGTTTTTGTTTAATAACTAAAATAGCAGCTTATCTAATTTGATTTGGCTTTGTCCTGACCAAGCTTTCTTTAATGGGATCCTAGAGCTGGCCATACATGGAGGATCGATGCTCTGGCTGAACATCTCACTATGTACAAGGTACTAATGGTTAAACAAGATAACTTCTGTGTCGAAGCTTGAAGGAAATCCACCAGGCTGAAAAGTTTCAGCTGATTTCCCACCGTGGTTGCATCTCCCAAACGGCAATAGGATTTCCTTATGTATGGCCAGTTTCATTCCACTACCAGAGATCTGTAGATTCACTCAGATGTGAATGGGCAATAACTGCATTGGGGAAACCAGAATTGTGATTACAGTAGAAATTATTAGACTGTCAGTTCAAAATTGGAGCTTCAATTGCATACACACTGGCGGACTTAATCCTCTCTTGGAAGCTCTGGAGTTCCTGGCTCTGCCCATCAACCACCTACAACCTTATGCGCCTTATTGCATATTATAAAATCAGTGTAGTATTGTAGAAAAGTTGTTAAATACTGTCATAACTGTGCAAGTTGGGTGGAACTATGAACCCCACAGAGCAGAAATAGTCACCCCAACATTCTTGAGAAGCCAGTGGGTGAGATATTAGATCTGTATGGACTGACCCCTTTAAGCAAAAGAAACCACTGCTGAAAAAATATGGTGCTTGGCGTTTCTAAACATTTTTTTTCTAAATTTATAATTGTTGTGTTGATATTAAAAAAAAAAAAATCAGGCTTAGGTTTATTACAGCAGGTAACGTTTTTCTTCTTAAAGTTTTTCAACAAAATCAATGCATTTCATACATGATCGGTCTCCTTAGGAAAAGAGAAAATCCTTTATACTTGTGAATATTTTAGTAACAATATTTTATGTAACTTTGTTCTAATATTTTAGGTAAGTTTAGTTTTTTGTTTTGTTTTTTGTTTTTGTTTTTGTTTTTTTTTTCTTTTTTTTTTTTGTTTGTTAAATGCACAAGTCTTAAGTGTGCAAGCGTTTACGTCATTGCGCCATTCCAAAGTGCATCCAAAAATTGTCATTCCCTTTCAGTACCTTCTCAGGAGTATCGCTACAGATCAGCTGATCAGGTTTTGCAACGCCATAAAGACTCATGACCGCCCAAAGGATATAATGTACACAGATGTATCTACAGTCAAGTTATATGACATGTGCATGTGTCAATAGGTATATATGTAAATCTTTATTAATGTGTGTGTACAGGAGGTAGATACACATACATGTAAAGATTTACACGGATATATTCACTTGTTTACAGTGGTTCTAAAATTGCCTCCGAATGTTGAGGGAATAATATATATATTTTTTCCAAACAAGATGTGTATTTAACATGTGCTACATACTATATCTTTAACCGTGCAGAATGGGGTTGGTATATGGATTCCTTAAGGAAATAAAATTATTTTTATATGGAGATGTAGATATGGGCATGTCTGAGATTTATTTGCGCTGTGTTCCACTTACCAGGCTCAAAACAGAAGTCAATGGAATCTGTTAACGGGATGGATAAAGCTCAGCAATATACTTGGTACCATCTGCACCAATCTGCGCTGAACATACAGTACATATGGGATTTATTATATGAAAACGCATAGATTTAAACAGATTGGGAAATCACCTGCTGAAGTTACATTTACCAGTATACCCTTGCATCACTGTAATCCATTATCTCATCTCAGATTGGCAGTTAATATGAAAACACAATGTGGAAGCCTATCATGACCATCATGTCACAAGGCGGAAGGGTAGGGGAGATGGACACAGCTTTGATATCCACAGATAATAATTTTAGTAAATGTTTGGAGTGTGGTGTTTAAGCTATGTCCATTTTGAAAACCTTTTACGTTGGTGGTGCTAGGAGGGTAGGCTATAAAGGGTTAAATGTGACAAGCATTCCTGTTTTGAGATTATGTGGAGTGTCTGAGCAACTGAAGAAGGTGCAGCTGCACAAAGAAAGCTGGTTCGGAGAGAGAAAAAAAAAATCAGGTGACAAGTGAAACTTCCTCATTCTTCTCATTGGAACTTCGTTGCTCTCCCAAACTGTCCGAGAATCTCATATCAAAGCACTGTGATGGTGACATGCTAAGCATACTCACAGTAGGTGATCCATACTGTGCCAGGAACATGTGACCATTGTGGTCATACTGTGCCCTGGCCTGCTTGACGCATCTGTTTGAGGCAGAGATGACAGAAGACACAAGTATACCCAGGCGCAGCATGGGAATGCAGGCCACAAGGGAAGTGAGGACAATCACACTTGGGCACATTACAAGGGACTAGTGAGAGTGGGCACATTACAAGGGACTAGTGAGAGTGGGCACATGGGCACATTACATTAGAGACTAGTGAGAGTGGGCACATTACAAGAGACTAGTGAGAGTAGGCGATCAGACCATAAACCTGTGACCTTGATAAGAATTGTAAATATTGGAACGTCCAAAGCAAGTAGTAAATGATCTTTCAAACAAGCCCTCACTAACCTTTGTAGCTGCAGGCAATGTGAAGAAATGTATCTTCTGTTTCACAACAGATCTACAGCCATTGATATCCCTTTCTCTCTATTTCCTTTGGCTGAAGGGACTTGGAAGCCTGCCAGCATTATAATGTACCTAATAGCGAATGCTGTATGTTCCAGAACTGACTGCAACCCATCATCAGTCTCTGCTGTAATTTTCAAGGATTAATTGTTCCACTGTGCCTGGAGCTACAGGGATCAGTGGAGACTTGTTTCAAAGTTTGTTTGTTAAGAAATAAATGCTCACTTTAAACATGATGAAGATTGAATTTAGACTTCACACTTCTTCAAAAATAAACAGAAGTCAGAATTAGAGCAGTTAATTTTAAACAAATTTCCGAAAAAAAAATGTTTTGGGTGCCCTCAAGGAATGGGACTTTATCCCAGTTTGGCATTCAGAGATGGAGTCCAGCCATAAAAATACCTCAGTACCCTCAGAAATGCCTTAACATTTTATGGTAATATCCCAACACTGGGTTTCATCAGGAGGGGATACGGCAGTTGAACTCTGGAGACTACAGATTACAATTCATTTTAGACATGGCTGCTGTGTTAGTATTCTCGTTTTAACAGGATTTGGAGTTATCAGTGCATAGGAAAGATTGACTTCAGCTGAGCTACAAATGGAACAAAGAGCAAACCTAGCAGAAGCATTCATTGATGTGCCCTTATATGTGAGCTCTATCGGGGAGAGAAAAATAACATGGTATGTAGGTCTAAATACACTGTTGTTGGGAAAATTAGGAAAAAAAAATAAGTTGCTATTACTCAACAAAATATTAAAGAAATTTATGAAATGCCTAATTAATATGCAGTAAGTTGTGTGTTGTTTATGTAATGGCAACTACTGTTTAAAGAAAAAAAAAGAATTGTGATTTATGAATGGAAAAGTTTTAACTATGTAACTGTAGATGTCGGATTCAAAACTTGTGAATGAAATTTGAATATGCGTGTTTCATGTGAAGATGTTTGAGCCATTTCTATCTCATGCATTCCTGTCTCATGACAGTAATTTTTTTGACATTTAAGAGCAAAATAAAAATCGTACCATAAATCTGTGTGATTGTGTGTTTTGTTTTTTTGCGGTTTTTTAAACCTTTACCTTTTTAGGAAAATAGCCTATGCACACAAGTAGCACCAGCAGGTTTTTGCACCTCCAGAAGACTGGCTAAAAAAGAAGCAACACAAATCTGTGTTAGGTTTGGCATGGCCTGGGGCACTTCTGCTGTTAGATCAGTCTTTTGAAACCAGGGATCCTTAAACTGTGGTTGATTGACCCCCCACATGATGGTTCCTGCATTTTTTTTCAGTGGCAGTATATTATCTTTTTTTGCTGTCTGTAAGGGGGGCATTCTTCTGTCTTGGGCCACCAATGTAAGAGACATTCCTCCCAATAGCCAACAATGAAAGGGGACATTCGCCCCACTAAATTGATTGGTTCCCTATGACCTGAAAATAATTTCAAGGGTTCTTCTAGGGTTAAAAGGTTGAGAGTCTGCACTGACGTCTTGCATAAGTGGCCAGTGTTCTTTTATCAAATCCCTACTGCAAAGCCACAAAGACCTTGCGTTCCACAGTCTGTCCCCTGGTTGATGTCAGTGGCTCGGCTTGAGCCTTGCTTCAGGGATTTGAATGAGGAACACTTAAGGCTCATATTTGTAACCCATTCAGCCATATTTCTTTCTCCCAGGTGGCAGCGTACATTCTGTCATTAAGATGAATGGCTGTCCACTGTAATTATGTATTTGATGGTGCTATTGTAATCACAAGTTCAACATACAAGCGTTTGCAAAAAAAACATCAAATTTTGTCTTTTTTTTGCAAACTCTTGTTTGCTGTTCTCGCGTTTACAATAGCACTGCCAGCTACACGATTACAGTGGCGGGCAGCCATTTATTTTAATGACAAGCTGTATGCTGCACCTGGGCTGCCTGGGTGGAAGAAATATGGCTTCAGTTGCTGAACCCTCCTGTGTGCAAGAGCCCTTTCAAAACATTTTACAGAAATGCACAATGAGGTAAATATACTAGAACTGGAGCAGCTGTGCATGGCAGCCAATCAAATTCTAGCTTTCTCTTTTAAAGCTTAGCTAAACATGCTGAAGCTGAAAGCTGATTAGTTACTATGCACAGCTATCCCGGGATCCATCTTCTCCAGTTTTAGTAAACTCTCCCCCAATGTGTTTTAACCTACTGGTGCTACTTGTGTGCATAGGCTGTTTTCTGAAGAAGGTGAACTTATTCTTTAGGAAATCCCATAAGGTTTCTGACCTCTATCAAAATATGTTAGAGAGATTTCTTTTTACTTACAGTATGTCCCAGTGACAACGGTTTGTCAAAAAGTGGGTACACCAAGACCTAAACAAAAAAATCTGAGGAAGTCATGTGGGCATGATGCAACATGTTTGGGCGGAGCCAGTGACGTAACCACGACCAAACCATAAAGATGCTTTTTGTTTAGATCTCTGCCCTCAAACTACAGATCTTAAGGGGGAAGTGTATCAATTTTAATTGTGGTGCACCAAAATTGTGCACAGGAGAATACAAGTATATTTGATATTTTAACAATACCATTAGCCCAGACAAAAAATTCATAGTGCTTTCCACTAAAAATGCAGAGTTGTGAATTGCTTTGTAAGTTACATAGTTAGTCTGGCTAAAAAAGACAAAAGTCCATCCAGTTCAACCATTAAAAAAAAAAAAAAAAAAAGTTATCCTACACCCACAGTTGATCCAGAGGAAGGCAAAAAAACCCAGTAAAGCACGATCCAATTTGCTACTGCAGGGAAAAAAATTCCTTCTTGATCCCCCAAGAGGCAATCGGATATTCCCTGGATCAACTTTACCTATAAATGTTAGTATCCAGTTATATTCTGTGTATTTTGTTAGTATTTTGAATGTAATGTGTTGGGTGAGCGGAAGGCAGTGGAAGGATTGGCAGAGAGGAGTAGCAGACACTGAATGGTTGATAAGGTGGATGAGTCTGGTAGCAGCATTCATGATGGACTGGAGGGGGGGATAGCCTTTGTAAAGGTAAACCAATGAGGAGAGAGTTGCAGTAGTCAAGGCGAGAGATGACCAAGGGTGAATTAGAAGCTTTGCGGTGTCATTGGCTAGGGAGGGGCGTATTTTGGAAATCTATATACAGCACAGATTTGTGTTGCTTCTTGAATTGCAATGAAATAACAATATAAAACTTAATGTCCAATATAAGAAAAAACTACAGTTCTCAACAAGTGTACGTGCATCAAAAATATTTTTCACTTTCCATCAAAGTGCAATGTGCTGCGCAATCAATAATGTTCTATACATACAAGCACAGCAGAGAACTCACGACTTTATATGACCACGCACTGCAGGTAAGTCCCACAGCACTTGTTTAACAAGGGGTTCCACATCCACCTAGGCTCAGAGACGTCCACCTTTCATCTCATTGGTGTTTAAAATATATTAGTAGATGTGCCATAGGGTAGACTAGGAAATGCCACCATAGTGTAAACCCTTTTTATGTTATTAAAATTGTATAACCTCATAAATAGTGCCTACTCTCATAGTATTTTATGATTTTTAATAAAGTAAAAAGGTTTTATGCATGTGGGGACTTGGAGTGAGCTGAGGAGTAGAGATATTTGGTGTCATCAGTGTAGAAGAGTTATTGGAAGTCATAGGAGGCTGTCAACTGACCCAGGGAAGGGTGCAGATTGAGAATAGGACAGGTCACAGAACAGAACTTTGGGGAACCTGACGAGGAAAGGAGGAAGTAAAGATACTGAAGGTGCGATAGGATAGGTAGGTTGAGAAACTGCAAAGAGTACAGTAGCGAAGACCTAAGGAGTGGAGGTTTTTATTTTTTTTAGGAGGGAGTGGTCCACTATGTCACAGGCAGCAGAGGGATCTAGGAGTAGGAGTACAGAATAGTGTCCATTGGTTTTTAGCCATTAGTAGATAATTTGTAAGTTTTAAATGAGCAGCAGTTTGTATGTAATGTGGAGGGCGAAATCTAGACTGAAAGGGATCAAGAAGGTTGTTCTCGATGAGGTGGTCACTCTGTTGTAGACCAGACTTTCAAGGAGTTTGGAGGAAAAGGGGAGCAAGTAGATGGGGCATAAGTTAAGATTGGTGGGGTCTAGTGAGGTCTTTTTAAGTATGGGGGTGACTAGTGCATGTTTTAAAGAATTGGGAAGATGCCAGAAGAGAGGAGATTGAAGATGTGAGAGCGTGAAGAATAGAGCCAAAGGGTGGCTATCTCCTTTGTGAGGGAACAGGGTCTAGGGGGGCAGGTGGTTTGGTTGGTTTTAGAAAAAGTTTCTCAACCTTGTCTATAGTAGTGGGGTTGAATGGGGGAAGCAATAATTGTACCTATGGACATGGAGTGTTAAGTGGGGGGAGATATCTGTACAGCAGAGATCGCATCACGAATTGTATCAATCCTATTTTTGAAGTGAGTTAGTGGGTGGAGGATGAAGTAGAGAGCTGAAGGTAGAGAAGAGCTGATGGGTACTGGATGAGAAGTTAATGAGTGAAACAGTAAGTCTGTTTGGCAGTATAGGGGCAAGAATTGTATTTTTGGAGTGCAGATCTATATTGGTTAAAATCTTTCTAAAACTTGATCTTTCTCCACAGGCATTCAAGAGTGCGGCTATGCTTTTGAAGACTTAAGGTGTCATCTGTTTGCCAAGGTTTTAGGGGTCAGAGCCTGATTCTGTGTGTAGTGAGGGAGACTATCGTGTCTCAGGGAGGATGACAGTCAACTGTAGTAGACAGAAGTGGCTAAGTTGGGGCAAGACGGGTGAGATTTTGTTATAGAGGTGGTCAGTAGCAAAGAAGAGAATGGTTAAGGTGGCAAAGGTTTCTACAAGTAACTGTTCGGCTTTTGGAGAGGTTGCAAGGAGTGAACAAAGTGTTAGAAGCATGTATCCATGTCTTCAGGTCAAAAGAGGAGGTTAGACTGATAAGTTTAGAAGTAGCAGGAGTGTTAATATTAACAGGAATGTTGACGTCACCTAGATTGATTGTGGAGATTTCAGAAGAGAGAAAAATGGGGTAGCCAGAAAGAGAAATCATCGAGGAAGGTTGATATAGTTCCAAGAGCCTGTAGATCACAGCACTTAAAGTGACAGGGAGGTAGGGAAAGTAGCTGAAAGGTGCTATGTGAGAAAAGGATTCCCAATCCAACTCATTTCCATACATTAATATAATTACAGTGCTGCTATTGATGATTCTGGAACAAAAATAAAATAAAAGTTTTTAAGGCCAGGAGGGAAGTGTTGCAAAGTTCTTTTTCTGAGTGAATATCTGCTTTAAGTAATTTCTTGTCTACATGCACTCCATCATTGGATGCCTGATTGTGACAACAGTGAACTGTGCCAGCCCCTTGTAGTCTCCAAAAGGACATGACAGTGTGCGCTGAATGTGGCCACGGCCATGTGGCCTTTACAAAAAGCTAAGGATTTTAAGGGGGGTACACACTATGAGAAAATCGGAAAAATTCCGTACAAGGCACAATTGATTTTTGTATAGTGTGTACACAGTTTTCGACATCCAATTTATACTTTACAAATGAGTTCTGGCAGTGATACGTTTTTTAATTGCACTAACATATAATTTTGAGGACAAGCTTTTTTGGGGTATGTCCCCTTCTTCAAGGTCCAAGCAGTACTATTACAATGTTTTAGCAGAATGTTAGACGTAGAGATGAGAGAGAAAAAAAAAAAAGGCAGAAATACAAGCCTAGCGTTAAACTAGAGATAAGATACAGCAAAGCAAAGACTGGGTGGGGGGGGGGGAGAACAACAATGACAGAGAGAGTCATAAAAATGTCGGATGATTGAGGAATCCCATGTCCAAGTTCAGGCCCTTATCTCTTGTGTCAAATAGAATTATTCTTAGTTCAAAAGTTTTTCTTTCCTGAATGGATCTGAAATTTCCTTTCAGAACTAGAACGTTGAGGTCTCCCATTGTGTGGTCTGGTTGTGCGAAATGGTGCCCCACAGGTGTGCAAAAGTTACCTTCTTTTTATGTTCCTTGATGGTATGTCTGTGCAAATTCATCCTTGTTTGCAACTTCTGTCCTGTTTCGCCAACATATGATCCTTTGTTACATTTTCTTTACTGGATAAGGTACACAACATTACTAGAGGTGCAGCTGTATGATCCGGAGATATTGAAGATCCCTTTTGAGTGTCTGACACTTTTTGATGAATTGATTTGGTTGCACAGCTTGCAGCGTTTCTTATTGCAGGGTTTGCTTCCATTATTTGCGACCTCATAATCAGAAGGAAGTTTCCTACTGATTAGTTTATTTCTGAGGTTGGGGGGTTGTCTGAAGGCCAGTATTGGTGGTTGTTGGAATATTTCTTTCAGAGTTCCATCCTCTGTTATGATGGGATGTAAATCTTTGATTATTTTTTCTTATCCCTTCTAGTGCTGGGCTGTATGTGGTTACTAGAGGTACACGGTTGTTTGTTTTTTTCTTTGTACTGAAGTAGATTTTCTCTTCGTGTTCTCAAGGCTGTGTTTATGCCGTGTGTTGATAGTTTTGTCCTTGTAACCTTTCTTATGGAAGGCGTCTGCTAGTGTCCCGAGATGTTTATCTCTGTCTCTTGGGTCAGAACATATTCGATGGTATCTAATGGCCTGACTGTGTATGATGGCACGTTTCGTGTGTTGGGGGTGGAAGCTGGAACTGTGGAGGTAGTGGCATCTGTCAGTGGGTTTTCTGTATATTGAGGTGTGAAGCGTATCATCCCTATGTATACTATGGTGTCTAGGAAGTTGACGTGTGTGTTTGAGTATTCCATTTTTGGTTGATTGATGGATGAAAAGTGTTGATCAATGAGTAAAATTGTTTTAGGTTTTCTTCACCTTCTGTCCATATGATGAAAATATCATCAATATAGCGATAGTATCTGTATGGGTTTTTGTTCCATGCTGTTCAGGAATTTTTCCTCCAGGTCAGCCATAAACAAGTTGGCGTATTGGGGTGCCATTTTACTTCCCATCGCAGTACCTATACATTGAAGACAGATGTCTTTATTGAAGGCAAAGTAGTTGTGTGTAAGTATGAATTCAATGAGCTGTGTAACATCCTCAGCAGTGTATTTGTGGTTTGGTGAGGATGATAAGGATCTGTGACATGCAGCTAATCCATCCTTGTGAGGGATATTACTGTATGTTGTTGATCTTGTTCAGAAATTCAGTTGTGTCTTGCAGGAAACTAGCAGTATTCTTTGCTAACGGTTTTAAAAATTCTACTACAAAGACTGAGATTTGTTCGGTGAGTGTATTCATACCTGTTATGATGGGTCTGCCTGGATTTCCTGGCTTGTGGATTTTGGGTAGCATGTAGAAGTCCCCAATTTCTGGATGATCCGGAATAGCATTTATAAGTTCTGAATGTAGGTGGGCTGGAAGTGTTTTAATGAGGCCTTTTAATTGCTTTGTAAAGTCCTGGGTCGGATCATAATCCAGTTTTTTATAGTAGATGGCATTTTCCAGCTGCCTCTGGCCGCCTTGTATGTATTTGTTTGTATCCATCACAACAACTGCTCCCCCTTTATCCGCTGGTTTGATGGTGATGGCCTCATTATTGCGCAAATTGTGTATAGCCCTTCGCTCTAGTGGTGAAATATTGTACAGAATTTTCTTTTGCTGGGTGGATATCAGGGATGTAGCTCGCAATCTGAAGCTATCAATATAGGTGTCCAGTTTGGGGTTGCGTCCTTGTGGGGGTGTGAAGTAGCTGTTCTTTTTCTTTGTGTAGCACTCCATTGTCCTAGGATTCCTTTCATTACTGTGGAAATATTCTTTGAGCCTTAGTCTCCTGAAGAAATCCTCAATATCTGACAATACTTGTAAATGATCCAATTTGGTGGTTGTACAGATGTAAGGCCTTTGAAGAGGATGGTTAATTCTGGTTGTGAAAATTTATGATTTGACAAGTTGATGATTCCAAGTTCCTCTGTTATATCCACATTTTCAGTCAGGTCAGCATTTACACAAGGGATCCCTTGGGATCCCGGATTAGATTCCAGGTCACTGATAGTAGGAGGTATAGAAGTTGGGTTGCTTTTATGTTTAGGTTGTATCCAAAAGGTCTGCTCTTGGTGCAGCTTCTGAAGTTTTTTTTGTTTCCCATTCATTGCAAGTTTTTGTAGAGTTTGCAATTCATTCTTGATTTGGTTAATGTTGGTAGGGTCCAATGATGTTAGGGTTTCAAAATGACTGCTTTTGTATCCGGATAGTTACCCTTTTTTCCATACAGTTTGTGAATGAGGTGATTCCTTAATCTCTTGCTGGTGCGTCTCCAAAGTCCTTCTGCATAAGGAGAGTTGATTGTATTTACACAAGGATTTTTAATCTGGAGGCCTTGTGGTATGAGATTCCTCTTTTTGCATCTTGAGAAAGAAGATATCACTGTTGATCTGTGTTTCCTTTGTCATTAGGTTGGTTAACTGCTTCTTTATGCGGCTATATGCAGTATCTTCCATTTTGCTTGAGGTGATTGTAGCCGTATTAGTGCACTTGCGACAGAAACAATTGAGAAATGATGCAAACTGTGCAACCAAATCAATCCATCAAAAAGTGTCACACACACTCAAAAGGGATCTTCAATATCTCCGGATCATACAGCTGCACCTCTAGTAATGTTGTGTACCTTATCCAGTAAAGAAAATGTAGCATAGGATCTTATGTTGGCGAAACAGGACAGAAGTTGCAAACAAGGATGAATTTGCACAGACATACCATCAAGGAACATAAAGAAGATGACTTTTGCACACCTGTGGGACACCATTTCGCACAACCAGGCCACACAAAATGGGAGACCTCAATGTTTTAGTTCTGAAAGGAAATTTCAAATCCATTCAGGAAAGAAAAACGTTTGAATTAAGAATGATAATTCTATTTGACACAAGAGATAAGGGCCTGAATTTGAACATGGGATTCTTCACTCATTATCCAACAGTTTTTTGACTCTCTCTGTCATTGTTGTTCTCCCCCCCCCCCCCAAGTCTTTGCTTTTGCTTTGCTGTATCTTCTCTTTTTTTTTTTTTTTCTTCTCTCATCTCCAACTTCTAACATTCTGCTAAAACATTATGATAGTACTGCTCGGACCTTGAAGAAGGGGACATACCCCGAAAGCTTCTCCTCAAAATTGTATGTTAGTGCAAATAAAAAAAGTATCACGGACAGTACTCAATTGTTTCTGTCGCAAGTGCACTAATACGGCTACAATCAACTCATGCAAAATGGAAGATACTTTACAAATGAAAATTTCCAAAGGGACAAACTCCCAAATTTGTTCTCGTATATGAACAAAATTAACAATTTTCATTTGAGTATCATTTTTCATTCGAGAAAAAATCAGATGCGTAAGACTTCGCATGATCAGAAACTATATCAACAAAGAAAAAGCCTTTTGTCATATGAGAATTTTCGTATGATTAGTACCATCCTCAGTTTCGACCTGCTGTGAAACATCGAGGGAAAACTGGACAATATTTCTTCCGATTTTCTTATAGTGTGTACAGGGCTTTAATTTTCAGGCATTTGAATACATTTTCAATTCCCATTGGACTCAGATGAAAATAACTGTCACTTTTAATAAACTTCCCTATCATGTTACCTTAGTTTTGAAAATTGAGCCTATTAACTTTTAAGTGGTTTGGATAATGCTTCAAGTAAACCAGTGCTGGTTCACATATAGGCGGATTGCACATGGTTTGAACCGCATCCAATTCTCATGGCATGTGAAATAAATTGCTTTCTATGGTGCCTGTTCACATATGTCCAGTGCACTGGCTTTGCTTATTCAGTGCGGTTTAAAAAAAGAGTCCTGTATGATTTCTGAGCAGTGAGGTGCGGTTCAGGTGCAGATTACATGCTAATGTCTTCTATGGGAACCGTTCCTAAACCACACGTGAACACGATAAAATCCTGACCAGATGCTATCCTGAACCTGAAATCTGAGCTTCAATCCGCATTGCATGTGTGGATCCGCTCTAAACATGGGCAGATTTTTAGAAGATTTTCACAACCGTGAAATGAGCTGTGTAGAAGCCAACAATTCTTCTCTGATTTCACCCTCCACATTAGTGTTGGGTAACTAGCAGTACAATGCTTTCACTGTTTAACGAGGTTTTATAGAAATCAACATTCTATTTTTTATAGGTTACATTCGATAAGAATGACAATCACTTCCTTCTGTGCCATCGATGAAAGTAAGTTTTACTGGAAATTGTCAAACAGCCCAACATTTTAATGCCATTTGTGTCCCTGATGGAGAGATTGATCCTCACTTCTTGAGAGGAAAGACATAAAACCTCTGGCTTGGTGTTCTGCTTTAACAACCAGGATGAGCTGTATTTTCAGTGGGGTGATTTTTATGGCTATAAAATGATACTGCACAGGAACAAAAATAACAGATTTCTCCATCCACGCTATGCAGTGCGGATGAACCAATCTCCTGCTGCTGCTATTGTATTCTGAAAGTCGGTGTTCACAATTTTCCTCTCAGCTCCTTGGATTTTTCAGTCTTGTGCAGTAAAGGGTCTACAGGGCCACTGATGGAGCCAATTGCCATTTGTTTATCAGGAACAAGACAACCTTTAACACTGCTGATGACTGATCACTACGCCCATTGCCAGTGGCATGTGATCGCTGTGACCAATCACAGCAGAGCTCATGACAATTGTAAACAATGGATGGCTTCCTTTCATCTGATGCCAGCTTCAAGGCTAAAGTCCTTTAGACATTCTTTAGATGGTAGGTTGCCCTGAATTTTACTGTTTTCTTACGTGGGCAGGCTTGTTAGTATTTTCATTAATGTTGCTCTCCCTGCACTTGGACTGTTTTGATTGTCCCAATTGTTTTAAAATTAGTGAATCCTGTGTCCCTTAATGAACAAAAAAAATAAAAAAGGATTTTTGTAATTATGGTCAAATCTGTTACTTGGAGTTCATTAAGAGACGCATGCCTTAGCCCACCCTCCTACGTTGTCATCCACTTTCCTGCTATTCTACAAACCTGAAGCATGATGGGAATGGGAGGTGGGGTGGGGATATACCTGGCCGGCCAATGGCTTTTTGCATGTCCGTGTGCAATACCTCCTGGAGGCCACAGTATAACCCAAATGTCTCAGAATAACACACCCGAAGTAACTCCTGTAAGTACAAAAGCCTTGTTTATTTCCCCTCAATATCACCTTGCATTGCCAGAAGAAAAAAAAAAAAACATTAAAGGGCAGTTTCTATAAAATGTCAGCTTATACAAAACTGCAGAAATAATGATGGGAAAATTTTAATTTTGTTTATTATGGCTCACTAATACATAAGCATGCACCCCAAGCCTGGCCTAGGGATGGTTTTACCTTAAAGTGTTACTAAACCCACAATAGTAAAATCAGTGTGTATATGCAGTAAAGCATGCTTGTTATACTCACTGTGGAACCTTAGGGATTAATCTACATTGTGAAAAAGGATGTTTGATCCTCTCTTCTCTGATCCTCCCCTTCTACTGTCCCCAATCCATCTGCTGATAATAAAGATCCATAGGAGACAATCTGCACATGCTCAGTTTAGTGTGTATTGCTAGAGAGGTTTTTTTTTTTCTTTGGGAGGGTGCCTGAGATCAGTGCATGGCCAATCGGCACTGTCCAGACAGAGGGTCAGGGGTCCTGAAGCCACACAGGACAGTCAGAGGAGAATGAAAACTCCTCTTACAAGCTTTAACCAGTGCTCAGCTGGACACTGATAGACGTCACAAGACTGCTATGTACTGTTGATGAAAAAAGCCATTTTGCAGTTATTTACTAAAATAAAATGCAGGGTCCTGGGTTTAGTAACATTTTAAATGACCTAATGCTACCGGAATGTCATTACTTCGAACTGACCAACGGAAGGAATGTGTGCTACTATAGTATCTTCCTTAAAGGGTCATACCACGATCCAAGAGGTATGAATGGTCATTACTACCAATTACTCCTGTATATATCACAGCTAAAATTGGAAGTTATGCCCCGTACACACGATGAGAATATCGGACGAACAATCGGCCGTTTTTTTTTTTTTTATGCCTGCTAGTCTCACATCGAAAGGGAAAAGGTTACTAAAGATACGAAAATTCTCCTTTGAAAGAAAAGAAATTCGAAAGCGATGTCATGTATTGCGTTGTATTTCTATTTTCAGACGACTGCTGTACTGATTAAACGAAAAATCGTGCAATCTGGTGTCGTACGAGAAACATTTTTGCGCTTGTCCTTCGGATATTGTCGTACGAATTGTCGTGATCGGCTCTCGAAAGCTGTGTACTGACGATCCGATTATCGGATGATCGGTCCTCGTACGAAAATTTTCATATGATTTTCTTATTGTGTGTATGAGGCATTAGTCTCTCACTAGGGCTGCACACACTTGCATCTGATTTGACCATCTGTTAAGCTGTAGAAAAACGGGCGGGACTCATTGGCGAAAGGCATTTATAGTAAGTTTCTTGCTATAGTTTCCCAATGTTGTCATCTTTGTTATAGCTATCTGTCATTAAATGTTATATACAGTTTGCTTTTTACCTGCAAGTGTTTGTGTGATCTCTCTTTGCACATCTCAAACCCCCCCCCCCCCCCCCCCTATTGACAAACAACTATGAAGTAAGCGTGATAAAACAATTACATTTTTGTGCTTATTTCTAGTGGATAACAACACATCTAAGTAGTGTCTGCTCAGAAAATGATTGTTCAGCAAAAGCAGCGACCATTATAAATTCCGAAAGACTTTTCCGTTATTCGATGACCTAACCTCATTTTATTTCTGCCAGCATACAAGATGATGGGTAGTCTGCAAAACTTTGCTACTGTTTTTTTTTTTCTGAAGGGTGATCAAAGCTATTAACTTTTCTTAGCAGATGTTCTTTCCTTAATCTATAGCCCATAAAAATAGTGGAGAGTGAGATCAGATGCTTTGAATTAAAGCGAGAGCCCAGCTTTCCTCCACTCCAGCGGTGAAGTAAGTTCCAGTAAAGGAAGGAGCGGCTGGAGAGGTGCCACCTCCTATTATTGTATCACAGCAGGGAATAAAGCCGCAGACAGGGACTAACCATGCTGTAAATCATATTTCAATGTGCATACCTTGTGCTAATAATTAACTTCATATTATTCCAGTTAAGCCTCAGCGTATTAACTGGAAGTTCAGCTATTCAGCCACACTGTGCTCTGTAAAAATGCAGATCGTTCATAAATGACTCACATTATCAAAACAATGGCAAGTCATCTTCCCCATTATATCGCCATCCACTCAGTGTTAGGAGGTTTGTGACACATTGAAAAGCTGTCTGCATCGGCCTCGTGAATGTGCCATATGTCATTACTGGTTGCATAATTTACATATTTTACTCATTCGAGATTATGGTATTAAAGTCTGGAGGTGAAGATAAAGTTTGGCCACTGAATGGAGTTTGTGCTTAATAGAATAGCAGAAAGGTTTGTATTTGGACCAAATCATTTCCCATCAAGCTTCCATGGAGGGGATTAGACATCCAACTAGACCTCAGGGGGGTGTCCACTGTATAGAAAGTTAAAATAAAAAAAAAAAAATCACTAGCCTAGAGATTAATCGCAACTCTTCCATCCAACTGTCACAGCTCCTAGTGTCGGTGATGGTCTGCTTTGGTCTTGTGGGCAGCATACAAGTGATGCAATAGGAAGAAGGGTCAGCCGCACA